TATGTCAGACTCAGAGCAGAGGTCTCAGAATATAAGACATAGGAAAGAACCTATGACTGCCCTGTCTGTTCCCCCTGCGCCTGGATTGGAGATAGGGATCAGCCAAAAAAGGTGCTTTGATCCTCCTGTCTCTCCTAAGTTTCACTGTACCCATTTTAAATTTGTTTAGTCTTTAATACAGAGATAATTTGAAGAAAGAGTCTGTGACTAAATAAAAATAGAAGAGTGCAGTGGGCCAGGATACACTGGTATTATCTAAGTCCTCACTTTAAAATGGAAAGGTGGAGGTTCAGACAGAGAAAAAATCTTTTCTGTATCCCAAGACATAACAAATAGGAAAGTAAGTACTAATGTAGAGGCGAGTGGAAGTAAAAGTCATAAAGAGAAGAACAAAGCTTCTAGAAGTAGCATCATAAGATGAATTACCTCAGAAGTCTATTTGAGAGATTGTGTCATGTCGCTAAAGTTCTAGGGCCTTGAGCCTCTTCCCTTTGTGAGGAGATGAAAATGAAATGCCAGTCTCTCGGTCTGTCTCCCAGAAAAAGAACATTGGGCTGATGAGCAATGACTCTGGCAGTGAGTGTCACTTCTGGCCATGTTGAGCCTCACAGGAAATCTCCGGATTTCTCATCAGGACACAGCTCCACAAAAATGTTCCTGTACTCAGGGCCTTGTGGTTTGATGCCACTAGAGAATTTCCTAGGGAAGCAGTGCAAGAGTTCTGAGAGAGCTGCTCAACAAGATGGACAGAGGCTGCAGGGAGGGCGGCACACGCCTTCCTGGGCTACTGCTGAGGGTTGGGTTCTGCACCCCCCCCCCCCCCCAGCTCATAAAGCACTCATTGTCCTGCATGGCTCACAGCCCTGGGGCTAACCCAGAATGGGGCAGTTTCTTAGGATTTAGAGTCAGAGAGATAGGAAACTGAAATGGCTTGTTTTGCATCACTTGCTGAGCCTAAGGCTCTCACTCTTAGGGTTTGTCTGTTAGCAAGGCTTTGATGTCCCCATCAGGATCGGTGAGATATAGTATCAGATCTGTTTATCAAGGAGCACAGTGTTAGAGGGGAGTGCCAAAACCTGAGAGCTACTGTGAAGAAGCATGGCAGTTCCGTTGGGAGGGAAAACTAAGAAGGAGCACTGTCTGTAGAGCAAATCTGTAAGGCAGTCGTAAGTGTGATTTCCATAATGCACTGTATTCAAGAAGTGACAAGTTTCTATTTTGACGCAGCCATTCTTCTAGATACTAGGACTGTATCTTGGGACTGAAAAAAGTGCTTCCCTTGTGTACTTTCTCATAAGGGAAGCCAGCCAGACTTACCCAAGTGTTTTGGGTAATGATAAGTGCTGGGGAGAAAACCTTAGTAAGGAGCATAGGGAGTATAGGGTGGTATATTAGATAAGGTGACACTTGAGAAAGGCCTGAAGGAATGAGGAAAGTTAAGGTGAGTGTTCATGGGAGTAGGTTCCTATAGAAAGGCCAAAGGGCAGTGTCAAGGTGCCTAGGTGGGCTAGAGCTAAGAGGGAGAAGAAGTTGAGTCAGAGACTTAGCTGAGACCAGGGCCATGCTTGGCTTCCTGACACTTGATAAACATTATGTTCTGAATGTTTGTCTTCCCAAATTTAGACTGTGAAACACGTAATTTCAAAGGTGAGGGTATTACGAGATATAGCGTTTGGAGGAATGATTAAGTTATAAGGGTAGAGCCTGTTAGGTGGAATCAGTGTCCTTGTTAAGGAGGCCAAGGATGCTCATTTGCCCTTCCACCATGCTAGGAGGTGCCCCCTATGGACAAGAAAGCACACTTTCACTGGACACCAATGTGGCTTGATCTTGGGCTTAGCCTGTGAGTAATACGTTTCTGTTGTTTGTAAGCTCCCCAGTTTATGGTAGTTTGTTTTAGTAGCCCACAGAAATAGTTTGCTTTTTATTCTGAGATGGGAAGCCATTGGAGGCAGAAAGTGTTAACAAAGACTGGCCACTGTGTGGAAAAGAAACAGGATCAAAAGCATAAGAGACTTTTTAACAGGCTTTTTATTAAGTTCATATTCTGGATATATTTTGAGACTGGGTTAATAGATTTTGTTGGTTAGCTGGATATTGGGTACGGAAAAAGATTTTTGTCTGGAAAAGCTCTGGGAATGGAGGGTCGTTTACAGAAATGGAGAAGATTGGGGTCCTCAGAGTTTCTGACTTGACTAATAGTTGTAGAAATAAGCTCTAGAGAGTCAGTGAAGAAGATGGTGAACTTAATCTTGGTTCCTTAATTTCCTTCATCCTAACAGCCTCACTTGTGCTTGGGTGAGTTATTTACTTATTTGATCAGCATGATCCTAGCATATAAACTTCAGGGATACTTACCTAGGCTTCTGCAGTTCATTGTGGTCAGAGGGATAGTGTGATAGGGTCCTTTGGGTCCAAAAGAGCCTTGGGATAAATTCTGTAACTGGGGCTACTCCTCATTTCAGAGGCTGTGTTAGTTTCCTACCTGCATAACAGTTACTTAAACAGGTCAACAAACATTTCATCTCTCAGGTTCTGGAGGCTTAGAGTATAAACTCAAAGGGCCACACTCCTCTGAGTGAACTTAAGAGGCAACTCCCTTAGCTGCCTCTTCTAGGTTTCTTATAGATAAAAGCACAACAGTCTGCCTTGGTCAGCTCATAGAGTTTTCCCTGTGTGTGGCCACACAGAGGGAAAACACGACAGGCCTGTCTTTGCATGGCCTTCTTTTAAGAACATAGAAACACTGGATTTGTGTTCACCCTTTCCAGGGTGATTTCAGTTTAACTTGGTTACATATACAAAGATGCCCCTTTCCAACTAAGGTCATGTTTATAAACCATAAACATATGGTTTCAACATATCTTCAACATATGTTTTTGTGAAGAGAACAGTTCAACCAGTTCCAAGTCAGTGGCCTGAGTTTGAATCGGGGGGTCTTCTGGGCTTAGGTGTGTTTGGAAATGAGGATGAACATTAAAATTATTAGAAAACAGATCTCACTACGTTATGGCTGCTCCATCTGTGGGAACTAATTTTTTAAGAAGAATTATTCATTACATTTAAATTAAAAGACTTAAAATAGATTGTTCATTTGTATTGTTTGAAAAGTTGAAGACTTTAGAATATGGAGGTGACTTTAGATTATGGAAGTAGAGGGTAAAGGAAGAGATTTTATTGGATCAAGAAGTTTTAAAACTGAGAGTGACACATGAATTTGGCCCGTAGCCTGGGTATTAGGGCACAGAGGCCCTTGCTGCTTATGCTCCAAGTGTACGGTTTGTTAGCAAGTTGGCAGAGATAGCATGCAGCAGAGCTCCGTCCCCAGGCACTGGCTACGGCAGGAGAGCACCTGCTCCCTCCAGAGCCTAGCCCTGCCTCCCCTGGGGCTGGGCCCAGCAGGTGCCTCGGAGGTGTGTGGTGCTGTCTGGCTATTGCCCCCCTTCTTATGCAACATCCAGTGCGTGTACATTCTTCAGTGGTTTGTCAGTGTGCACCTCTTTTTTGCTCATAAGTAAAGTCTAAGGGTTGTTTATCAAAGGAAGTTCAAGTTCCTACTCTGCTGTTACGACGATAGGATTATATCAGCTTTAGTAAATGTAATTAAACAAAATTTCTTAGCAACAGTATATACTTGTGGCCATGGAATTGTGTTACCACAGACACCATGAGTTTTATGGAGTTCCTGTTGTGTTGTAAGGAAGTCTGTGCAACTTGGCAGATGGGAGGTGAGTAAAGAGATAGAGCTGTTTCTAGCCATAAGGAAATTTGGGAAGGACAGAGGAGTCAGAGGTTTCTACAAGAACCGGTGACGATTTACATCTTGCTTGTGATATTTGGCTCCTGTGTGGAAAAACCTGAGACTGTATCATTTAATAAATGTATGGACAGAGAATGGGGGAAGTTAAAAGCAGCACGTGCACAGGCGCCAGAGCGATGTAATGGTGAAGGTCATAGAGGGTGGATTCAGTTTTCCTGCCTCAGGGCTGGCAGTCATTGCCTGGCTGTGGAGGTACTTGAAGCATCTTTTCCTCACTTCCTGGCTCACTTCCAGTACTTGGGTGAAGAGAGACAGGGCTGAGAGAAGGGCACTGGTGGCACCTGGGCTCCCTGGGCCAGGCTGCATAGCACTGCTCCAGTCTGGTTTAGTCACTTACGCGCACTGTGGAGAGGATCTTTTTCAGTATTCTTTCGAGACATGACTAGTATTCTTCTAAAAGAGAGCCTTCATTTTATGTCTGCTTGGCGGGAATATAGCCACAACTATGTCCTCAGGGCAGGGACCAGTGTGGTGAAGCCACCATACTTCTAGAGTGAGCAAAGGACAAATTATGCACACACATCATTTCCTTTGACTTAATCTTTTGTAATCCTGGTTCCAGTGTGGCTTCTGAAAGTACTTAAATTTTACCAAGTTGAGATTTTTAATGTAGGACCCAGATGGGGCAGGAAGTAAACTTTGAAAAGGTCTACTTTACTTGGTGTGTCACTGTCCTGGCAGCACTGGTTTCATTAGAAAAGCAGATTCTGCCCTGACTCATCTGCCTCAGTGAGACGTGTGATCAGACTCATAGCACTCATGGCAGCCTGCAGCTTGCTGGACAGACCAGTGTATACTGTCCACTCTGCAGTACCAGGGACTAGGGTGCCTGGCCTAGGCTATGGAAAACCTTGAAAAAGAGACAGTCTGTTACGGAGAAGGAGCTTTGGGAATTTCCTGGCCTTTGTCTGGTGTAACTTCATATATCAAGATGCCTGTTTTTAAAGGCTACTTCCTGGTGGGAGAAGACTGCCACTGGCTGTCCTCTACAAAAGACTTTTGCTGTCTGCACAAGTGGACCCTTTGTCTGGTAGTCAGCCCAGGGGTGGCAGGGTGTACCTGGCTTCCAGTTGACACTATGTCCCTGGAAGTCACTGATCACCAGAGATGCCATACTCTTTGCACATAAAAGCTGCATTGCTAACCTAACCTGTTCTAACCTTTTGTTCTTATATTGCAGCAGAAAAAGTCCTACCTGGAGCGGAGTGTTAAGGAAGCTGAGGACAACATCCGAGAGATGCTGATGGCACGAAGAGCACAGTGAGCCTCTAAGACACTCTCCCTTTAGACCCCTGTCGTCTTGGCAAGGGTGGAAGGACCTGTGCAGCCTGGCAGCCTCTTTTCACCCAAGTGGACATTTCAACTGGTTGGGCCAGAAACCAACCCTACATTTTCTGTATTGCCCTGAGCCACTTTCGGGTTCTGCTCTGTATATTCCCCCAGCTTTGCTGTCCTGGATGCTTATCTCTCTGAAGTGATCCATAAATTCCCAGAGCGGGAAGATAGGAGCCAGGGTAGAGGGCAGGGCCTAGGTGACCCTGCCATAGAAGATAGGCCAATAAAAGATTTCTGTCTCGTTCTGCTGTCTGTTTTTATTGAGACCAGAACAAGAAGAGAGGGCATGATTGGCAGTGCTCCGTTGTGCTAGAGGTTTTCTCTCCTTGGGGAGTGGGGTCTTGCAGTGTTCTTTGCTGCTCTGACTGAGCCCCCTGACTTCTGGGCCTCCAAGTGGTACAGAGGAGGCAGAAAGGAGGTAAGTTCGTAGCTGCAGTGTCCCGCTAGCTGTTGTGGCAGTCAGCCTCCAGATTCCTTTCCTTGCCTCCTCCCATGCACACCAATAGCCAGCAGCACCTCCAAGGTTGTCTGTCTCCTTTGGCCAGTGCCACAAGATGGGTACTACAGATCCTGAGGTCTCTTGGAGGCTTAGGGGCAGTAGTGTGCTAGAGCTGGTTTGTCTGAGAACAGATTAATGTAGCTGGGGGGAATTTTGTTGCCAGACAGTTGCTGAACACAGCCATTGTTTTTCTGGAGCCATGCAGGGATTGAACCTGGGGCCTTGCCTATTCAAGGCAAGTGCTGTGTACTTGAGGCACATCCGTGGCGAATTCAGCTATTGTTAAAAAGTAATACATAGTATGCACAAAGCCCTGGGTTCAGTTCCCAGTACCAGAAAACAAAAAGCCCAAATATGTAAACTTAGAAATGTATCCTTTCCTAATATCCCATATGGGCCACTGTGTGTGCACCAAAGGTCAGGATTAAGTCACTGTACCTTGGTGGTGGGAGCATTTCATGTTGCGCTTCTGAGTCGTGGCATGTGAGAGAACTTAACACTACAGACATAGGAGATGCTATCAGTCATGGCTTTTTCTTTTTAAAGAGTGAAGACTAGTGGTTAAAAGGTGACATACAGCACTGCTTTGAGGGTGGCAGGCTGAGGTCAGCTGGGAGCTGCCAGCAGCAGCCTCTGGCCTGCTGGACAGGCCTATTGAGCAGCAAATCAGACTTGTGGCAGCTTAGCGCCACCCCGTGGCCAAAGGTGAAGTGTGCAGCATGACTAACTGGATTGGGGCTGGGAAGCTCCCTGACCGAGGGAGCCTGGGTTTCCAAACAGGCCTGGGATATCCCTCATTCACCAAGAGCCCCTTTCTGAGGTCCTGGTAAAAAGCAAGTCTGAGTTATGCTGACGAATGCTCTTTCTGGTGCTCATCTCTGAGGTGGACTACTTAGGGTTTTTTTTTGTTTTCTGATACTGGGGATTGAACTTGTGACCTGGCACTTGCCAGGCAGGTACTTAAACCACTGAGCTAAATCCTTGCCAAGACTGCTAAGCTTAAGGACACCCAGCTTCAAAGCCTGCCTTCCTCGTGACAGCCACACTGTTGGTAAAGGAGCCAAGTAGAAAAGCTAGAGGCTTCTCATGTACTGAGCCATGGCCACGAGCTAAGATACCTGTGTTTTCCAGGCCTTAGTGAGCAGATGAGTAGTTAGAAGCAGTAAGAGTTCAGGAGGCAAGAAGCACAGACCCAAGATGTTTACATTATCCCAAAGAATTCAGACTACGAAATTTTGGACAGGTTTATTGAAACATACAGGGTGTGAGCAAAGAAATCATTCAGTGGTGTCTTACATCTTGCCACTACCTAGAATGTATAATTTTAAAATTATAAATATATATTTCATAATGAAGCTTTTGGCCAAAAAAATATAAGTCATTTAGCACATTTGTTACAGATCAATAAGAAATGGATTTTGAACATTAAAAAGATCAAGTCACTGAATTAAACAACAGCAACCATCCCTAATCTACAATTCCAGTGTTGAAGGTAGAGGCGCTTGTGTGGAGCTAGTCATTCATTACAGCAATCAGAAGAGTCAGGGGCAGGACACCTATGGGAGGTGGTGGCAGAGCTGGCAGGGCAGGTGGGCTGAGCTGATCAGGTGAGCATATCCCAAAGGCAGCAGCAACAGAGAGCAGTCCAGCAGGCCGTGAGGCAGGTGGATGGGCCCAGGTCATCTCGTCTTTGGTCTTCCACCACATACACTGCAGGAGAGAGGGGCAAGGGTGAGAATGAGCTGTTGCAAACCCTGGCCCTACACAGCCTCCCTGGGGGAAAGGAGTGCGGCTCCAGGCAGCAGTCACTAAGCAGCTCCTGGGCAGCTTCTCTACTCTTCCTGCTACTCCACAGCAATAGAAGAATGGCTTAGCTCATCAACTGCTTTTCCCCTCCTCCCTGCCCCCAGCCTGGACATTCATATCTCCCAGGAATGAGCACTAGGGAAACAGCATCATCAGACTCATAAGCATTAAGGATTTCAAACTTTTTCAGAGCTCATGAATGCATGAATCACAAATGAGACCAGTCTTTTGGCAGTTCTTTTATATTTTGTATCTATTTTTACATCTCCTCTCTTGGCAACTGCTCTCTGGAGGTGGTGGTGTAGCTAGAATGCTCTGGCCTAGTATGGAGCTTTCCCAACTCCACCCCTTGTGTCACTGGCCTTCACTCTACAGAGTCCTTTGTTTTCCTTCTCTTGGGGCATAGGTTTTGCTTTTTGGAAATAGGGCCTTGCCTAGTTGCCTCAAACTCCTGATTTTCCTGCCGGGGCCTCTAAAACAGCTGGATTTACAGGTCTGTGCCACCACGCTCAGTCTGGGGCAGAGGCTTAAACCCAGCTCACTTTCACGTGGCCCCATTCAGCAACCCAGGCAAATGGGGCATCCGGGTCTCAGAGATGATCCACACCATGGAGGACTGGTCAGAGAGGAGAGGCTGACCTGTTTATTTTGAGGCTTCAGTAGGCTCCCAATTTCACCCTCACCTGAGTGCTGAGACAGGGTGCACTGGGAGGAAACCTGAGGCTCAGAGGTTATCTCTTGTTCAGCACACAGGTAGAGGTAGACCAGGTAGAGGCACGGCAGGATTAGAAGCCAGGCTTTCCTGGGCTGTGCTGCTGTGACAGGTCCCATGTTGTCCACTGCTGTTTACCGAAGTGCCAGGAGCAACCTGGGGTTTTCCGAGTGGTCCCTCACAATCCTCACAACCAGCCTGTGTGACAGGCACTGGACACCATCTCCCTGCTGTTTCTCAGGGACAGGGCCACGGCAGCAGTCATGTCCTTTTTTGCTAGAATATTAAACTCTGAGTAGCTGAGATGGGGAAACAGACTACAAATTGTCCCAGTGCTGTTTTACCCATCACCTATCTCTTCCAGCTCAGCCAAGGTTGTTCTTGTAGGTGCTCGTTTCTCATCATATTCTCAGAAACCTGAGAACTCTAGGATCTCGACCTCATTGCTCTCAAACAATGCTGGCAGGGTAGAAATAGTGGGCAGCTACAGAATGCAGACATCAGTCCTGAGAGCTATGTCACCAGTAACACAGGTGAGGGCCCTGCCCCGCGGAAACCCACTTACTCCTGGAAGCACTGTGACTTCTCCCTTTAATCTGCTGAGACAGACCCTCCCAGCTGCTGGGAGGATGGGGTGGGTAGCCTGGGTTTACCTTGCTTTTCAAGTCATCCAAAGCAGAGAGTAACTGGCCAAATTTTCATACCTTAGGCTGTGGGGCCCAGAAATGGCAAATCTTAGCATCTTTTAGGTGCCCAGTCCACCCCTGGGAGTGAGATGCCTTGTCTCTGGAGGGTGCCCTCTGCACTTAGTTGCAAGGCCTTGTCCCCACCCAGGACCCTAATCCGCCCTGGCCTTCAGTGCTCCTTGCCTTCTGTTCTGCCACCACCCTTATCACTACTTTGTGGGAAAATCTGAAAACTACACTGCATGGCTCACCAACCAGTATCTACCTCAGAGTGTCTGGGTCTTGGGCCCTGACACCCGGGGTACATAAAATCAGAGTACGCAGTGTGCAGTGTGCAGAAACTCAGCCGGCAGCCATAGTCCCTTACAGGAGCAGGATCAGAAATGGCTCCAACCGAGGTTCCACATCCAGACCAGAGCGGCTGTCCTGGTAGCTGCTTCCTCAACTGCTAAGCAGAAAATTATTAAAAGCGGGGCAGAGCCATGGCTTTTGTAAGATATTAAACTGTCTACACAAACTATACTATCTTTGTAAGTCTAATAGTACCTTTAAATATAAGGTTTTTTTCTTTTTAATTTGAGACAAGGTCTCATTGTGTAGTGCAGGCTGGCCTTGAACTACACAATGATCCCCTTGGCTCAGCTTCTGAGTGCTGGGGTTATGATGTGTGTCACCATGCCTTTTTTGTTTTTGTTTGTTTGCTTTTTAGGGGGAAAAAGGGATCAGAAGAGTAGTGGGTAGTGGTGATGCAGGTAGCGTTCTTCTGGGCAGATCAGAGGTCAGTTCTTTTGTCAGTGAAGATGCTCTGGTTGCCTGTAGTGCTCTGGCTCCTTCTTAGTGATCAAGTACCCCCTGTGGCCAGCCTGCAGACAAAGGATGCAGGGCCCAAGATCTGCTACTATTCACATGAGCTAAAGGCTAACCTCCCATTACTATCTAGTGTCTCAACTACCCCATTCAACCAGTTTTAGAGGCCTGTACCCTCACCCCCATGCAGGAAGGGATGGAAAGGACTGTATTCATGGGGGACTACAGACAGGATGAGGGTCAGGGCCAGAGGTGCTTTTACTGCCTCTCTTAATTTGAGAACACTCATTTGAAACAACCCTGTGTATGCTCAACTCTAGCCCAGTGTGGAGTCTGCAGACACAAAGCTTTGCCACAAAGATGCAAGAATTGAGGGGAAAGGATAGGGATAGGACGGGGATGGCAGAGCAAGCATGCAGGGAGAGACAGGATGATCATACAGGTAACTTAGAGGCCCAGACCAGGCCACAGAAGCCCAGAGAACCCTTGTATCTCAGGTGCAGAGCATTTTTGGGAGGAGCTGAGCTGTTTCTGGCAGTGGCATTTACTGCCTTCTTGCTTTTTTGTGCTAGAAGTAAAAACAGATGGAAGATGCTGAGAGGGATACAGTCTCCTTGATCAGCTAACTGCTTGCCCACCTGCAAAGCCCTGGGATCTTCTTTCTTTTTTTATTTATTTATTTATTTATTTATTTATTTATTTATTTTTTTTTTTAATTTTTTTTTTAAATTTTATTTAAGGAGAAAAGAAAAAAAAGCAGAGAAAGGGTACAAGTTATACAGATTTGCAGAAAAAAAATGAACAGTAGGAAATTACTAGTTAATGGATTACATATTGTCATCTTAGAAATAATTGTTCAAGTCACAAAATTAAAGCTTGTAACGTGGACATTCCATCAATGATACTGCAAACAGTTCTGTTCAATGATCCAATAGAACTCTGTGATATCATTTTCTATCTTATACACTTAAATATACATGCAGTTATATAGTACAGAGCACTTTCTTTTCCTCTCTTTTGTACAATGACTATTACACATTTTGGGTTTCATTGCTCCCATGGTTCTTATTACTTTTTTGGAAGAGAGTAAAACCAAATGTGACATAACAGAACAGAATCGGTCAAGTCAAAAGGGTGGACATAATAGATAATGTGAAAACATAATACAAGGTGATCAACAATGGTTACCATAATGCCTCCCGCTATCTCTAATAGAATTGCCTATATTGTTAGTTACAATACAATTGAACAAAACTGTAAAGAATAAAACCGACAAAACCAAAACATTGGAGACATTGTAGGTCTTCAAAAATAGATAAAAGTCAATGAGAATGGGCGTTATAATGAATCTCATTATCTTCACAGCTGATGCCTAAATTTTCGAACCTGATACTATCCAGCAAAACAGAATGGGGGAACATCAGTTAAAAACCAGATGGTGAGAGTAATACAGGGCTTTAAATCGAGGTAATGGAAAGTCAAAGTGGGTTACTATAATATATCCTGCTATTTTTTTCCTTTAATTAAAAGGATAAAAATAAAAAAGTAAATAATGGAGTGGAGATTGAGATAAAAGAGGGCATAACAACGAAACAGCACAGATCAAAACATAACCATTTAAGCAGAATAGTGTTTCACCACCAGATAATCCTGACCTAAAAGTAGTTACCATATTATCTCTTTCCTTGAAATCCTTGAGTACAACTTCGTATACTGTAGCATTAAGTATATCAAAACAATGTAAAACCATTCAAGAGAATGACAGCATTACAGAGTATTTAGAATCGACTAACAGAAAATGAACAATGGTTTCTGTATTATCTCCTTGTCTTTAAAAGGTTTTTGCTTATACTATCATACATAATAAAATCCAGTAAGATACAACCTATTTGGACCATTGGAGACAGAAGGACAAAAGCTAGATGAGACTTCAAAACAAGATGATACTAAATCAGTATTACCTATTAAGATGTCATTTTCTCCAAAATAGCTGTTCCTATCATCCAATCTTCTCTGCCTCATTTCTGTTGAGCTCTTATTCTGTCAGTAGCTGTCAGTTTGTCTTCTTCACTTTGTTCTCTGCTCCATTCGTTGTGGCCTCCATTATTTCTGGATTCTTTGTATTTTTCTTTTTTTAGAATATCCTGCAATACTCTCTGTAGAGTTGAATTGGTGGTTGCAAATTCCCCCAGTTCCTCTTTATCCTGGAAGCACCTTGTTTTTCCATCAATTTCGAGGGACAGTTGTGCAGGATATCTCAATCTTGGCTGGAGATTATTATCTTTCAAAGCTTGAATTATTTCCCCCCACGCTCTTCGTGATTTGATGGTTTGTGCAGAGAAATCTGCTGTAATTCTGATGGGTGCTCCCTTGTAAGTGGTCTGCTTCTTGTCTCTGACAGCTTTTAATATTCTGTTCTTGTATTGAATTTCTGGAATTTTTATTATTATATGCCTGGGTGTTGCTCTGTTTGGGTTGTAGGTAGCTGGGGTCCTATATGCCTCATACATCTGAGTATCTTTACCTTTTGCTAAATTAGGAAAATTCTCCTGGATTATTTCTGTGAGTAGCTTTTGTAGTTCATTTGTTTGTGTCCCTACTTCTTCTTTTATGTTCTTAATCCTTAAGTTATGGCTCCTCTTATCATCTTCTTGTCTTTGTATTATTGCTGTTTGTTTCTTTGTTATTTTTAAGAAGTT